CGTCCTGCCTGCAAGCCTCCCTCATCCTGCCTATAAACCACCCTCCGTCCTGCCTGCAAGCCTCCCTTGCTGGCTCACCGCTGCCTTAGGCCTCGCAGCCTCCCACTGTCAGATCCTTCTTGCCATTCAAATGTCCTGCACTCAACAAGCCATCAGTGACCACCCAATTACCTTATCAGGCCCGATGGTCTACTTACTTGCTCACCTGTTTACTGCCTCTCTTCTGCACTCCATTATGGGTTGAACTGTATCCCCTACAAAGATGTGCTCGAGTCCTACCTCTGCACCTGTGAATGCAACCTTACTTGGAAATGGGTCTTTGCAGATAGAATTAAGTTAAGATGAGGTCATATTGGAGTAGGGCCCCTAACCCAACATGGACGTTTCCTTACAAGAGGAGAGGCACAGAGAGAGCGCAGGCTCGGCCCTGTGAACACGCTGATTTCAGGTTTCTGGCCTCCCGAGCGGTGGGAGAAAAATGTCCTGTTGCTTTTAAGCCACCCAATTCATAGTTCCTCGTTAGGGCGGCCCCAGGAAACCAGTACACCCCTCAGCCACCATTTTACACGCGGTCCCTGCCCTCCTGAGCTGAGCTTGCTTGCTTGATCCCGTGGGCAGGAGTGCTCAGTGAGGGTTAAATCAGTGAACTGCTGGGCTCTCACGTGTCTCTCCAAACGCGGTGGCTTCTGACCCCCATGAGGCAGGCACTGTGCCCATCTGGCCTGGCTTGCCCATCACAGGGTCTCCAGGACAGGAGGGGAGGGACCAAGGGTGGAGCTCCCCTCACATCGAGAGCAGTGTCTGAGGATGCTGGCAGTCCTATAACAAGCTCCCACTCACTGGGTAAGGGGCCGGCACCGACAGCATCCCAGCCGTCCCTGCGGCCACCAGCCAGGGAGGAGAACACACTCCTGCGTGGAGCTGCAGCAGGAAGACCCACACAGGTGACACCGGCCAGCCCTTCCCCTTGTGTTCAGCCAAAGCCACTGGGGACAGCTACATTCCTGAGGTTAAACCTCTTGATGGAGATTCTGGAGGCAGGGCTGGGGAGCCTGCCAAGAGGCCCAGCGTGGGCAGGGCACAAGGTTTACACAAGTGGGCAATTGACGAATAGCCTCTGGGTACCTGCCTCGCCCCCGGTTAATCTGCCTTCATGAGAAAAGTCAAACATATGTTCTTGTTCAAGAGTCCCAGGGGATTTGTCAGAGTACAGAGCAAACATATGTCACCCTCCCCGAGAAGGAACTCGATGTTTCTTCTGTAATCGGGCTTGGGGCCAGGGCACAGCCTGCCAGGGGTGACGGGGGCACCTGTGTAAGAGTCAGAGGTGGCTGCCAAGGCTGCCTGCCGCCTCCCCTGCACCACACACATTCTGGTACCACAGGGCAGTGCATTCAAGTGGGGGCCCTAAAGCCACATTTAATTCACAGCGAGATAACATTTGTCACCCACCAGGCTGACAGAGATCAACACAGTTGGATAAGAGACCGTGTTGACGAGCACATGGGGAAACGGGCCTTCTCTTGTGTGGCTGGTGGGAGTATGAACTGATGAACTGACCCGGCCTCCGCGGACAGCAGTTCAGCAAAATCCACCAGTCACCAATGTGTGTGCCCTCTGACCCCACAATTCTCTTTCTAGAACTGTCTCCAACTGATAGGCATGCACAAGTGTGAAATAAAGTATCAACAAAGTTATCCCTCCGGCACCTCACCTCCCCAGCTCCCAACCCCCACTCTACCCTGCGCCATCTATTGGGTTGTCGGAAAAGTCATGACACATTTTTGCAACGAAAAACACAGAAAAAAATACGTCATGACTTTTCCGACAACCCAACACAATGCGGAAAAAAGGAGCCCGCTGTGTGCACATGGGAAACTGGCTAAACACTGTGGCACGACCCATCCAATGGAAGGTGTGATTAAGAGAACTAGGACCCTCCCTGAGAACGGACATGGAAGGAGGGTCGAGGTTCACTGTCCAGTGACGAAGGTAAGGTCTGGGAGAAAGCACGTGATGAGACGTCAGTTGGGGAAATATATAAACCCAAATATATTAAAATATATAAATATATTTGCTGACTTGAGGAAACTCAAGAAACTGCTGCCTAAAGGTTGGGGCCCTGGGGTTCCGAGGTGGGAAGAAGCCTTAATTTTCACTATAGCTGCTTTTCTCTCTTTTGAATGCTATACTGTGAATGTCTTACCTATTCAAGAATAAATTATTAAAAGAAATTATTGTTTGTGTGCCTGGGCTCAAGTTCTAATTTGTCTACTTTCCCTCTTGGTGGTCGCAGAGTAAGACCTTGATTTCATGTCTTAATTCTCTCTATTTCCCAGATGGGTCACCGTGAATATGAAATGAGATTACAAATGTAAGACAATGGAAACACTCAAGAAAAGTTTGGTTTTATCAGGATTTAAGATGGTCCCCAAAATAACGGTGCTTGGCAAACAAAGTGATAAATAATGGTTCCTACGTCCCCGATGTGGTAACAAGTCCCCACGCCAACTGGGGGTGCTGAGACTGCCCCTCAGGAGGTGCCCATCCACTTTTTTTCCAGTAATTACCAAGAATGGCATGGGGTGGGTGGGGGGGCAGTCAAAGTCTGACACCTGAGATGTCCAAAAGCCCTAGATGTCACCTTGGGACTGTACAATGTACTAGTTAGATATTCCAGCCCATTCTCTTAGTCTTCTCAGAAGACCTTGAAATTAAAGTGTGTCAAGAAATTAAAGCCTTTCAACACAAGCTTTTGGTTCCTGACCTCCTGATTTTTGGAAGGCTGAGAGTTTTCTGCTTGTTTATTTTTGGTTTGAGGGTTTTCATCCCCTAACTTCATTACAAACGGCCACTGTGGTTGGTGGCTTGACATCGTGCGCTGGGTTTCAGAGTGATGAGTGGGAGAAGCAGCCCTCCTTCCATGCCAGAGCCACACCACCCCACCCCAGGCTCACTCCGCCATGCCCTCTTCCTCACAGGATTCACGGATGGTGACAGTTTTAAGAAACTGCAACATACGCCACACGCCTTCTTTCAGAAGAAGATTGGGTATAAGGCCCGGCACACGGTGGGTGCCCCAGGGTGGAGGCAGTCATCGCTGTCCCCGCCCCAAGGCAGCCCCAGCCTCTGGCTGTCACCTGCTTTTTCCTAGGTAATTGCAGGAAACTCAGCGTCCCTCCCAGGCACCAGCACAGCACCCACCTGCCCAAGTGCTCCTGCAGCACCTGGTAAACGCTGATCCGGAACGTCTCATTGTCGAAGCGTTCCCGGATGTAGTCCTTGTAGATCCGGAATTCGGCTGCAGTCACCGCTTCCCCTTCTGGGATCTTGGAAAGATCAAACCGGAACTCCCGATGGTGGTAGCGCGGGTGGAAAAACTCTTTGTCGTGTTCCACTGGAAAGGGAAAAACACACACACGGACACCAAAAGCTCATTAGTAACTGGGTTGCACTCTCTCAGCTCTGAGTTCAAGCACCTGGCCTAAGCTGGATGGAGACGTGCCCATTGCCAGCGACCCCTGTGGATAACTGCCCATCCTGTGCTGACCTGTAGGAGCATCACAGGCTCAGACCCAAGGGTGATGATTCTGCATCCAACCAGCTGAGAAGAGTTGGGCACTGACCACAGCCATCCCAGAGGCCCCGGACAGACTCCGGTTCTGAGAGCTCAGGCCTGGGTTCAGATCCAACTAGCTGTGTGGCCTGGACAAGGTACCAAGTAACCTAAACTGGGCCTCGATTTCCTCATCTGAAAATGGAGATAATAACCCTCTTTCATTTGTCATTGTCAGAGTTAAGTGATCTAATTCACGTAAATAGCTTAAGCTCTAGTCGGGCTAGATAACTGAGCTATTATCAGCAAATATCAACCTTACCATGCCGATCAGGTGTAGCTTAGGCCAGTGGGGCTCAGCCCTGATCTGTGTGAGAATCGTCGTGGGAGCTTTGAAAAAATATTGGTGCCCTGGCCCAGTGGTGGGCTGGTAAACGTTTAATAACAGGCTCTCTGGGACCCTGTCTGTAGTGCTTGCCAATTTCCATCTCGGCAGATCTCAACTTCCCAAAGTGAAGTCACTGCAGATGGAAGTGGGGAGATTGGCACCCAGTGGGCCCCAGCACACTGCTGTTCTCGCTCTACTCTCAACCAATGAATCAGTGTCTTTGGGAAGGAGGTTCAGAGACCTGTACTTTTTAAGACGTTTCTAATAGCAACCAGGGTCTACAACTACAGGCTTAGACTAAAAGCAGAAAAAGAGATGGGTGGCAGAGTCTGGGGCGGGCTTTGGAAAGTGACGTCAAGACAAAATAAGGCAGAGGTCCCCAGCACTTCTCTTGTGTACTGGCAGTGAGATGAGTCTAAGATACTCTGCCCATTTCATGAGTGACCAACACCAAGATAGGTATCAGCCCAAGAACAGGGTTTCTGGGAGTGGACCCGTGATGCCCAGGATCATTCATCCTCAGACCAAAACGGAGCCGGGATGGAGCTGGGAGTCATCGAGTGCTGGCAAGATGCAGGCAGCCAAACTCAGGCGTGTCTGCGGCATCTGCAGATATCTTTCATCTCCCGGGAGACCCAGCCCCACATGCACTTCCTGCCTGGGGGCGGGGAACCAGCTTGGCCAGAGGAGAGGAGAAGCCTGACCAGCGCGTTTCCACTTAAAGAACCTGAAAACTCTTAGGCTGGGTTCGGGCAGCCACTGCTGAGAGCAGATGGGACTGCCGGGGAGAACGGAGGCTCACAGCCCCGACCGCCCAAAGCCCTTTCTACGGGCCTCCATTTAAAAGGAAAAATCCGCTTTAAACCTTAATAATAGTTCTAAGAGATACTGCGGTGCGGGCAGGGGGCATTGAGGAATTTTCCACCCATGAGGTTGCTCCCTACTGGGCAGAAGGGGCAGGTAGCGTCCTTGAGGCCAGGGGACTCTGGCTGGGCACAGGAGTGGCCCTGTGTCTGGGCCGCAGCTGCTGGAACCCTGGGTTCCATGTGGACAGCTGGCCAGAGGAAAGAACTCTCCAGAAACGTCCCACGGTCCCTGGGGATTGCAGCTATCCTCACACACTCCCCCTTTTACACCCACAATGAGCACCCCTCTTCTGACCAGATCTAAGAACAAGGAAAGGCTGAACTGGGTGGCAAAGAATGGCAATGGGGATGTCACCAGTGCCCCACTCTGATTTATGAAGGTGGAGCAGGAGGAAGGGGTCTTTTGTGGCAGCTCTGGGAAGTGCAGACACCTGGAGGTCAGGTGAGCTTCAGGAGGAGACTCCAGGGTGACGGGGCATGGCAAGCAGCCTTCACTCTGTCCCTGCGGATATGCTCTAGGCCCGTCCTTTGTCACCCTTCCAGATCATTCAACCCTGCAGGTTGGTTGGAGATGTGCCTGAGACCCAATAGGGGTGGAGTGACCTGACCGGGATGGGAGAGCTGGGACTCGAACCCAGGTCCCACCCCCACCGGAAGCCTTCACCACGTGTCTCAGTGGCAGCGCCAACAGCTCAGAAGGAGAGTTCCTTTGCTGGTTTGTCAGAACTTACATTGCATTACAGCATATGTACAGTATGTACGCAGACCAGATGTGTGCCGCTCAGCGAGTGTCACAAAGCAAACCCACCCACGGAACCTTCTCCCCCGTGGAGAACCAGAGCGTGCCCGGTGCCGCCTTCCCCTCCCCCCGCCTCTCTAACGGCAGGCTGGCTGCGCTCCCCACACGTGTTACGCGACTCATCTGCACCGCCCTGGGTGTTCGCGTGTCCCCAGGGCTGTATAATATTCCGTCTGGTTGTGCCGTATCTCATTTGTCCCTTCTACAGTTCACGTGCGTTTGGGCAGTTTGCACTCTGGGCTCTTTCGAGCAGTGCTGCTGCGAGCATCCGGGTACCTGCACTCTAGCGACTCTGGCGAGCCTGGGGGCACATACCGAGAAGCGGGCTTGCATGTGTGTCCAGCCTTAGTAAGGCTGCCAAGCCGCGCTCCCGGAGTGTGGTACCAGGCGGATGTGAAGGAGCGTGCCAGGAGGAGGCAACAAGTCGGTCCCGGAAGGAGATAGGCACAGTGTGGGGGCGACTCCAGGCTCTTCCAGTGCTTTTCTGCAGGGGGCTGGTGGGCGAGGGGAGGTGAAGCAGCAATTCCTGGAGAGCAGCCTGCACCCCCATGAGCAGTCCGTGCGCCGCCTCACCCCCACCCCCGCCATGAGTGAGCTCCCAGTGAACGTGCCCGCATTGGCCCCCTGCCCCGCTAACCCACCCAGTCCGAGGTCACCAAAGACCGTCCCTTAACTAAATGGAAAGGACACTGTATGGTCATCACCTTGCTGGATCTCCAGGTAGCAGCATTCAACACCTGGCTATTCCTCCTTCACAAACCTCACCTTCCTGTGGCCCCCTTCACTGTAAACTCAGGTCACTCGGGCCACTCCATGAAACAGTCCCTTAGATAGTCCCATGTACAGGGATTAATATCTGGAGCGCACACCACAGGCCAATGCCCCGCCCCCATGCCGACAGGTTACACAGATAAAGTCTCCGTTCCCAGCCATCTTCCCTCTCCTCCTCCAACAGAGGCCAGAAAGAATGCTTTTGAGGCACGTGGTACTCCAACATTCAGCAAAAGGGGCTGCTCGTGCAACCGTGCACAGGAGCCCCAGCACGATGCCTGGAACGCAGCGAGACTCCAACAACCCCAGCTTCCTTGCTCCCTGCATTGGATCAGACCACGCCTCAAACAGCTCCTACCGGCAAATCCAGCAACCAGCCGAGAAGAGAATGGGGGTTTGGAACCCCAGTTTACAGTGAAGATGGAGGAAGAACCCCAAAGGGCAAACAAGCATGTTTACGAGTGCTTCTCAGCGATGGATGGGTCCCACACTGAGCACTCTGTGCTGTCATCTGATGGACCCTGGGGAGGCAGAATTGATCCTCATGTTACAGATGAGGAAGATGAGGCTCAGGGAGTCAGGTAACTTGCCCAGGGTCACAAGCTAGGCGACTGGCGGAACTCTCTTGACCTTTATACTCTCTGGAGCCAGGTGGCCTAAGTTCCGATCTCAGCTGTGCCGCTTACCAGCTGTGTGGCCCTGGCCAATTCACTTAACCTCTGTGTGTGTCCCCTTCCTGGGGGATAATAATAATGGCCCTTTCTCATAGAGCTGTTGGGAGGTCAGAGGAGTCGGCACTTACAACAGCACCTGGCAAATGACAAGCAATTCATTCGCCATCGTTCCGGGGCCTCTAAATGACCTAAGAGAATGACAATCAGCATAGAAGCAACAATATGTACATGTGGGTATTTACATAGCCCAGCTACGATTATCTGGGGGAAAGCACAGCAGATCAAACAAGAAAGAAAAGTTTGAATAAGCATGACATTAACACAGGTACAATCACGGAAGTCACACCCAATGAATAAAGAAAACACTGATGCATAATCACAAATATAAAGTTAATTATAGCAGGTGTATATGGAACTTTTTTTAACATGTAAGATTGCATGTATTTTAACTGTTCAGGCACTTAAGATATCAGACAGTTAAGATACCAGGGTTATAAAGATTCTTTTTTAAAAAAGGTAAGTGAATAAAGTGTCCAGCTAAACTTTTTGCAAGCATTTGCTGGCTCTTGGGGATGGCTTTCTGAGTGAATTTCCTTCATTAATTATTTTAAGACAATGAGAGGCATGAATCATGTTACCATTCTGTTCTTCCTGAAACCCACATCATCACGGTTTGAAAATAATTTTGTGATTTATCGAAAATTGTCATTAAAAAACAAAAAAGAGCAGTGAATAACTCAAAGTCCAAACCAAATTCCAAGTCTTGTCATCCCGAGGTTTCCATCTTTCATGGGAGTTGCCCCGCGGCATGGAATCCACACCACCTCTTTCTCAGGGACCGAGATGGTTTAATCGTCACCGCTAAAGTACATGAAAGCATGTACGTACTTTTAGAGAGAAAATACATCTTTTGCCAAGACCGATTACCATAGCTGATTACCCAAGACTTGGACTTTAAAATAAATGTCTAGTGCTGATACCAGTCTGTGCCCAGGAAGGAAAGCTTCCTAAGAAAACCCAGAGCCAGGAAATCCAGCTTTTTCTCAGCCGCCATTTACCTTCCAGAACCCCACTGTCTAAGAGCCACAGGTCTTGACAAAGACTTTCATCTTCACAAGATGAAAAGGGCCCAAATCCCCAAGACCAAACGATAAGCCCAAAGAAAATGGATTCCGGAAAACACCATCCTGACCAGCCCTGTGACTGTCCCCAACGCTGGACCTAGCGTTCTTCTGTTATAAAAACCTGCAATAATAACCCTAAAGCTGGCCCTAGGAGGTGGACATGCTGGGCTGCAGGGTGTCAACAAAGGGTAGAGGCAGGTGGGAACAGGAAGCTACACA